TATTATGTTATGCCATTGTACCTTTACATTGTGTCTAAAATGCTTAGCCTCTTGTCAGTATATCTTAGAATATTTCAACTCTTTATTGTGTGACGTAAGGTTTAGGTTATGCCTAAAAGTTCGTTTTGTGTTTTCAATATTACATGCACATATGTTAAACATGCAAATAATTTAAATTAAACATATCAAATATTAAATTATACACAAGACTTAATTAATCCTTAATTAAATATCAGGTTAAATTTAGAAATAGGATCATGTTCCCCTGGATTCTTTATTGACGATTTTTTTTTAACGTCGAAATTCAATGGTCGTTTAATCTCATAATTATCGCAAATCAAATAGTATGTGTCATGCAGCAATATTTTTCTTTTTATTTTGAATTAATTATTAAAGTCCGAAACTTCTGATCTGACTATAAAACACTGTCCTAAGCTTTTTATCAGTCTTTAACCTTCCTTTAAAAAAAAAAAAAAGTGTAAACACATAGTATTTCATACGTGCACTGGTGGGTCGGTGGGGAGAGGGGGATCCCGCCCTCCCATCTTTAGTGACCAAAATATGCATGAAATTAATCAATTGATTTTACTTTGTAGGACATTGCATTAGTTTTACATAAAGTATAACTGAAATAAGTTGAAACGTAATATATAAACAAATTTAAAGCCTGAGAGCTTCTGGGCTTTCACCCCCTGATCCCCAACTTAGACTCCATATCGTCCCCCAATAGCTACTCCTTTCAAGAACCCAAGATCGCCACTGATATGAGCCCATGTTTACTAAGGCATGGTCAATTGATTTAAGTGAGGGGCTGGTAGATTTTTGTAACAGAATTGTGGTCCTGGAATGGTTGAAAAATGATTAATTCCAGTGACGTTGCATCGTTTTTGAAAGTTGGGGAAGGTTTGTCAGCCAGAAAAAAAATAAAGTACAAGAAAAAGCAAAAAAAAAAAAATTAATCTCGAAAATCCTATTTCGGGTGAAAGAGAGGGGGGGGGGGCAACTTCGATCAGTCCTAAAAAAAATCCCAAATATACTACATTACCCTTATACTTCAGCAAAAAGTGGCTGCTGAATTTCAATGAACATTTTCTACGATAAAGTTATGTCGGAAATAAGAGGAAGTCAGACCCCCCCCCCTCATATAATGTGTCTGTAATTCGTCCTAATTAATCAGGACCCCCCCCCCCTCCTTCCTTCCCAGTCGTGAAAACACGATTATCAACTTTGACATAATGTAAATGTATTTTACAGCACGTAATGAACATTTGTAATCAACATAATAAAGAATGAACACAATGTAAAGATAGTTTTAAATCACATAAGAAAGAGTTAACATACGAGGGACATTCAATAAATAATGTCATCGGGGCTCGGAAAGAAGCAAAAGACGCTTTTTAATTATTTAGTCTTTATGATTTTGATTATTAATCTCTTTTGATTAAAATAGATGTTCGTGAAAGTTTTTATTTAATTTCTGATTGTATTTAGAACACACTTTTGGGTATGACCCTTAGTATACTGGAAAATAGCAGATCCAAGGATTTCCTGGACTTGTTTTTTTCTTTCTGAAAGGTGGTTTTTCAAGTTTGGAAATAGAAACAAGTCAAAAGGTAAAAGATCTAGCGAATATTGTTAATGTGAAAAAATATTAAGTTTCTTTTTATCCCGAAAACCCCTTTACTCTTCAGGGGTGCAGGGTTTGGACGCTATCATGAAGAAATTTTATGTAGAAGATTCCTGATTCTAGGTCCTTCCTCTAATAAACCTTTCGATTTTTTTGCAAAAAGATTGCTTTCTAGACTCCTACAAAAATTAAACTGTCTCCCCGAATACGAAATTGAACAACAGTACCAATAATATTTAAGAAAATTGCATATAAATCTGTCTTTGTGTTCTTGTATACATTTGCTCTTGTCGGACCATTGTTGTTTTTATCAAGTACATCTTATGGTAAATTTTCTATTGAGTGTTTTAATCAATAGATTCATGTTCCATCATCTGTTTGAATATGAAACAAACTTGGATAACTACAGTTACTGATATTTTAAAATAATTGTTAAGACATTCCTACACGCTGTCGTTTTCACTCATTTTTTCCAAATATAGGGTGATCTTTGAGTACCAAGCTTTTTTACGGTCAAACGTTTCTTAAAAACATTGTAAACTACTCCCGATATGATGTATATCAAATTTGCTATGTGTCTTAAAGTCAGTCATACATCATCAGATATTATTTGTTGAAATTGGGCAAATAGTACATAAGTTGTTATAATTTTTGTTGGCAAGACCGGTACCCATTTTTGATGCCCATTATATAATTTGTTATCATTGAAATCCACTTGCTTATTTGTCTATAAACCAGTCTTTGGTTGATGAAAATGTCACATATTTCAGTGAAAAATTCTTTGGGATTTTTAACACGTTTTACAGCAGCTTTAATGAAGCTTTTATTTTCACTCTAGTTTGCTGATTCTTTACCATTCATTTATAATGCAGTGTCTCGAATAGCCCTTGTTTCCCAGCTTCTCACGATGAAACTATGTGATGAAAAGTGGTCACATAAACTGTTATCAATTCATTAAAGATTCAATAATGAGAGAAAGTCTAGCTTAATGTCATATGATTTCTATATTGTATGTCATCGAGCTAATGACATTATTTATTGAACGTCCCTCGTATTCTTATTAAATATCCACATAAAAGAATGGAGTTTTGACATAATGTAATAAAGTGTTGATATAATATGGAACGCCGGGACTGTCTCCATAATATATGTTCACATTATGTTAAACCCTTTTTACATCACGTAATAAAGCACTGACATAGGGGTAAGATGTACTCAACTCACATTGTGATGACCTCGGCGTAAAATAAAGATACATTAACATCACGTAATAATGCTTTGTAATAATAGAAATATACACTCACAATAGGGAATGGACTTTGACTTAATGTAATGATAAATCTAATCTTAGAACACATGTAAAACGAAATTAACTTGACGTAATGCAATTTTGACCTCACATATTAAAGAAATGAAAAAATATAAAGAAACATTCACTTCACGTAATAAAGTTTTAACACAATGTAAACATATTTTCACTTCACATATTGAAGTTTGGTCTTCAAGTTACAAAGTGCCGACATATTGGAAGAATGTGTTTACTTCATGTAATGCAGCATTGACATGATGTAAAGATATTTTTACATCACCCCATAAAAAATTGACATAACGTAAAGATATGTTCACATAACGTAATAATAGATTGACATAATGAATGCATAGTTTTATGCTATAAGGTAGTGATGGCGTTCCATAGAATGCCATAGTTATATAATGTAGTATGCTCACATATTGAATTTGTAATCGTTTTTCAATATACTTTAATTAATTTTAATGTGTTCTTCTTTAAGTGTTGTTTTGTTTCTCTACCACCGGTTCTAAAACTTGCATGTAAAAACACAGTCAATGTATATGCCTAGTTTTTGAATACGATTAACGTCAGCATTCCTCTCAATGATTAAATGCCAAATTTAATTCGATTTTCGGCATTAGCATCAGCAAACACCGTTTCTCAGGAATAAATGTTAAAATTGCAGTTAAATCATCGGGAACCCTTCCTAAGAACATCAATAGCTATACTACAGGGAGGACTAGCTATTACAGAGTATTTTCTTCCGACGTACAAAAAAAGTTTCCGCGAGTGTCATTATATCGCTAAACTCGTTAAGTCGAGAAGTAAACGTTTTATTTCGTTACATGCCATCCCCCGATACGAAATTAGATTACAAAATTGCCTCACGTATCTAGCAAATAAAAAGTAGCTCTTTGGACGTGATAGAGATGGAAGTAGAGCCCTGTTAGATACAAATCGAGACCTTTCCGAATTATGCGCACAAAATAAATCTTTTCCAGAAAAACTAACGGTTTCAAAAATTTCATTTTCTCTCAAATCCTTTAACAACAGGAAGGGGTCATTTCTTTTATACTAATTGAAATACTTATGTATTAAATTGTTTGAATTAAATTATTTTTGAGAAGCCCTGACCAATAACATGCCATGGATTAATTTGAAGCAAAGAGCTTGAATAAAAATATCTATCCGTTTTCACTCCTATGACGTCAGTTTAAAAATTTAAGAAAACTATTTACAGCAGTCTGTTTCCCTTTAGTGACCAATGTTATTTTGCTAGACTGATGACGCAGATACAGTTTGAAAGCTTCTTTGTGCATGTTTATCAATATCTGGATTCATTTCGATTTATGATAATCTTTGGTCAGTCGTTAGGTTTTGAATTGAAATAAAAATAAGTTATATGTATGATGTGGTTCTCTTTCAAAACAAATAAATTTCATTTTCTCCAAGTTAAAAGATTTTTCTAAGACATTTTAACACAAAGACAATGGGTCTACATGTATAAGCTATATATTTCAAAGATTTATTGGATAGTACCACGTTTTTATAGTTAATGCAGGTACCTGAATTGAAATTGATCTATTTCATTCAGTAAAAACGAAGTGTATTGAATTCTCGTAAACCCAGCCTTGGTCGGCTTTCTATAATGATCGACTCCATCATTAATCGATATAGAACCCACTATGTCACAATCTCCCATAAACCAAACATATATACGGACGCCATCGGTTGTGACAAACGCAATACGCGTAAACATGCATGACTGAACGGCACTGCATATTTTGTTCTATATTAGTCTTTTATTAATGCCGTTATCGATTCTTATGAAAATTCCTGCGAATAAATAATTGAAAATGGAAAAATGTTCTTGTAACGAATCAATATGCATAGAAATATTTTCCAATGGTATTACGTTTGTCTTTCTTGTGAGAACTCTTTTGTAGAGTGAAAATTATTAAGGTATATGCCTAAAGCGCGAACTTCCGTTTATTGATCGGGCTTGAACATTATTAATCTATCGCTGCTTGCAATGTTAACTTTAGGGAGACGGCTGTTTTTCAGTGCTATGTCTATTTGTAGGAAGACGAGGATTCCATGGCACAAGGGACATCTGGAATAAGAGCAGAAAAAAGCAAGAAATCGGAGGCCAGGTACAGACAGGAAAAACTGAACTCCAGACTTGTGTCGCCGAGAGAGCACTCGTGTAGTCACGCAGACAAGTCTACTGGTGTGGAGGACGATTCGCCAAGTAGCGCTTCCAGGTCTAAAAGTTCCAATTCCAACAATGGAGCGCCTGACATGGGAATAAAAAATATCGTCATGGATGATTCGTATATTGTTCAAACAGTTGAAATTAAGAAACGGCCGGGACAAACCCTTGGATTTTACATTCGAGAAGGCAATGGGATCGACCGAAGCGAGGGAGTTTTCATTTCTAGGATTCAGTTAGGTACTGTGGCAGAGACAAACGGTTTGTTACACATTGGTGATGAAATTTTATCAGTGAATAAGAAAGAGGTAAAGAATATGTCTCTTGACGATGTTGTCATTTTGATGTCTATCCCTAAAAAGTTAACATTGAAGATAAGAACGAGAAAGAATGGGAACAAGAACGCGTCTTGTCCTTCATTAGCTGTGACAGAACAGCAACACCCCCCGGTGGCAGTTGTAAAACGAGGCCGTTCATCCTCTGCTGACGCAGTAGAGGAGACTGAAAAGTGCCCGGATATGTTTCCTTTTTATGGGACACCACCCAGCCATGATCATTTTGGTGCTAGACGTTCTCGACCTACCTCATCACAATATGCTAGTATCTTCATATCACCTCACCGAGCTGAGGCTAAACTCTTATCAGACGACGGGGACAGTGAAAATTCTAGCGAAGGTTCTCTTCCAAGGAGCGTAGACTCTGGTAACAGAGGATATTACTATGGTTACAGGGGTTATGTATCAGACAGTGCATATGAACCGACAGGGACCTATACAAGTCCTACATTGTCCCCTAATCATTACGGCAGTCAAAGTGATCGGGATTATGCGAGATATATGTATTCAGATGGAGGGCTTCCGAGACGAATGACCCCGCAGACGACCCCAAAATCTCCCGCCAAATCCTTCCATACACAACAATATCAACGAAATCAGCCTTGTGGCAATCCTGATTACTACGCTGGTGGTCAGCCCCTTGATTTTCATCGAGGGTATGATACATCTCGTAGGTTTCAGGGTGGACTGAAAGAAATGATACAATCAAAAACCAAATTCGGTCGACTTCAACGGAGTCACTCGCCAGAGTGTTACAATTCAGACTCAGAGATATTATATACTCATGGAGGTGGGGGATATATACCGGTTGATTCTCGGGGCTTTGCCTCGGATTATGAAACTTACGCTAATGCAATTAGTGACGATGACCCTATTTATTCTATTCCCAAGATCCCGTCCAGTGGGAGTACCGAGCTGGAGGAGTTATTGAAGAAATTTAACACCCTGTCTCAGGAACTCCAGGAAGAACAGAGCAAGCTGAGTCGTCAGATCTCGTCATCGCGAGACAAAACAGGTAATGAGAAAATATCGATCCAACCAAGCTCTCCTTTAGTATTGAAAGGCTATGAATCATTCACCTTTTTCCCCTACACTGGTCCGCCATATAAATCTAATTAATAAAAAGAATTCCCGGGTTTCTCTCCTTAACGTTTTCATGAAGTACAAGAAAATACTTTTCTAATTCTACTATGTGGGAACAGATATATAGGGGTTTATTTTAAAGAGTCCCCATTTACCAATGGCTAACTTCCGTTCCCCAGCAGCTGGTTTCCTTGGGGAGTACAAATGCTTCCTAATCCCGTCAATCCATTTCATTACGAGAACCTAAGACGATCGATTGCGAGTCATTCTGAAGGTGGATAAACTCATTTCACTCATCAACCTGTTTTTAGCTTCGTTTACGAGCAAACGTAACCCTAGGCGGAAATCGTTATCTTTTTTTCGTTTAATTTGTTTCCTCTTTATTCTTTTTTTTTTGAACTCGCGTTTCGTGTCCTCACAGTCTTACGTGATAAGTATTGTTATCCAATAGCAAGCGGCAAATACGATAAACAAATGTTTTATTTTTTAAATTGAGAATATGAAGAAAACAGTTATTTAACATATATCTGAAAAAAAGAAAAAACTTTGTTTAGAAATCAAAATTATTTCACTTTTGGTATCGTGCTAATTGCTGGACCTTTCATCAGACCTAGATGTACGACTTTTCTGATACGGAGTCCTAAATTGGCGTAGATTTATGCTCTGAATATTTCAAATGTCACCGCTCAATGTATGGCCTCTGTGCCTAGATTTACCACAAGCATATCAGATTACAGGACCATAATTCGATAAAAATTCTGGCGGCTCATTGTTTTCAGACAATAATAATTGATCATTTCAACTGAAACATCAGGGATTTTATATATGTATATAATGCACACCCCCGGACATAAGTGACAAAGAATGTCTCTAGAAACCAAACACGCATAATTGTACTGCATGTGGTTTGTGCAAATAACACTTTTTAAAATGCAATTGACAGACAAACCTCTTTGTTATCTTAAAAAATGATAGTTTTTCAACAGAGGAAATGATTGTCTTGCGTGCTGCAGATCTTTTTGTTTTTGCATTGTTTGAGACACAATTGAGAATGCGAGGATCGTGTAGCATTGAATGCACACAAATAAACAGTTCACAATGTATTATTAATGTATAAAGACGCGAAGTCCAAGGTACTAAAATTCTAATTAAAAGTGCTATTTTGTAATCAATAACGCTGACACCTGTCGTCCAGTCCAAAATAATTTAGTTTTTTTTTCATCATAAGACAAATCAATACTATAAATTTCCCCACTCTCGTCCAATCTCGTTAATTTCTTACTCAAACTTGATGAGCGAAAACAGCAAAATCGATATGACTTTAAAATATGCAATTTTTTTTCCTAAAATACGAATCAAACATTGAGGTTCAAGAGGAAACAAGATTTACACGTCTTATTTGTCAAAGTATTAGATTTACTCCAAACACCTATTAAGGTGGTTCATTACAAAACATTGACAAGAAAGATGCATTTAGAAAATGAGGTACTATATGTAAGACTTTTCTTTTACTTGAAAGATAAATAGGTTATTATTTCACTATATTTCGTTTTCTTTTTCACAAATCAATCAGTATGATAACTGAGTCAATTTGTATCAGTTTTGACATTTTGGAACTTTGGAATGATAATATGTAGATGTGCATGTAAATTTTTCTCGAAAGCCAATCATTGTAGGCATTCAAAAAGAGATCGACCAATCACTGTCTGCATAAAAATGAGGGAAATACATGTAAGTTTAAGATATTGTTTGAGAAGATCTAAATGGAGATGTAAATTGTCAATGCTTTCGAAAGGTTTTCGGTAATGTAATGATGATACGACTGGATGTCGATCCCGACTGATTAATTCGATATCTGGTTTCACACAATGTATGAATCATCTTGGCAAGTTCTTGTCCACATTGTCTTTGTATTTATAGTGAACAAAACTCTTACTTCCAAATACCACATAAATGTATAAACTAGAAGACATTTGCCTTATTTGGAAGAAAAGGAGTACTTGGTTCTTATCTTTGATATTATTTATCATTTGGTGTCCAGATATCCCTTGCTATCAGAGCATTTAAATAAAGATAGTAATAGTTTCAAATAAGAGAGATGAAAGTAACAGTTATCCATGCATCGTTCAATCGACCTCGTCTACATGTATCTTGCATCATGTATAATTAAATTGCAGTGTTCAGTTTTATTCTGCGTTTCCTTGTCAAAATTCTCTACTCTTACTTGACGCGAAACTTTGGTTTTAAATATTTTATTTTTACTTTCTTCAAAAAGTCATATATTACCAGCATAGCTGCGCGCCCAAATTGTTTTCTATATAAGGGCCTCAGACTGAATTCGGTTTTACATCAGTGGTAGGAATTCCTGAAAGTAAATTGATTTATTCGATGTGGAACTAATCGCTTTCATCGTCTCAGAATTGATTAAAGAATCATTGAAGTGACACACGTAGATCGGAGTTGGCGATGACTTTTCTAGAGAATCGATAATTTCGTCTGTTTTTCCTCCCCTTCGTTAGTCTCATCTCATTTATCATCTAACCATATAAAATCCACCTCTCAGCTCGGCCATCTGGTTGGCTGATTAAGTTTTATCTCACAACATTTTTTTTTTCATTAGATTGTATACTTCACAACTCGTCTGCAGAGTGGTAATTAATTAGGAGATATTGGCAAACATTATCACAATATTATAGATTTCATGCAAAATTTAGAGCACCAGTAGTAACACGTTTTACTTGTTTGACATTGGTGCAATGGGGTGGCTATGGAAATATTGTTCACGTCTCACAGTATTGTATTATGCGCAATTTCAGCTTAATTTGTGTATCTTAACAAGACAGTAATTATAGTAGATTCGCAGATGAAAAAGAATCTAGTAAATAAAGTTTTCTCAAAGATTATTCCTTAAGATAAGCATGCGTTCTGTCATAGTTTTTTGAAATTTTAAAAAGAGTTTTCCTTTCTTGAATTTTTTTTCCTGATGATTCCAGGCACATATCCGGTAAACCGCACATCAACTGATTCACCAAAAGCCGATCTCTTCACAACCAGCAGACGTCCCCAATCGCCTTCATCCATACGAAAGGCAGCATCTACACAGACGCCCTCTCACTCCAAGTTAATCCGAAAACTGAGTGCAGAGGCCCTATCTCAACATAGAACATATCAAAGTGAGTTTGACTCGGTCAACTCACCTCGCAATCACAAATCCCTTCCTCTGTCAGTGTACCAACTGAACAGGGGAAATAAATCTTACTTATCTACCTCATCGGCCCTAAGCCCTGCCCATGGTGACAATAAGAACAAGAGTACAGACACAGAGGAAAGGCACGTCCCAAGGTCTTCGTCTGCAAGGTTTAGAGATTTACAATTAGTGAAGAAACCGCTGCAGATACCTTATGGTGAGTTTGAGTTTACAAGACCGGATCCGAGAAAACGGGTCGAGTTATCCAGATCAAGGGGGTTGGATGGCATGGCTCATATACATATCCTATCTGGTCAAGGATTGAAATCCTCCAAGATGACCCTTCGGGACCTTTATTGTGTTGTGTCCGTAGATTCTGTTAGTATAGCTCGGACAATGATTAGGACGGGGGCTGTGAACTTTGATTGGGATGAAGCTTTCGACATCGAATTAGAAGAAGCAAAAGAAGTGTCTCTTCTCATATACAACTGGGATCCAAATTTTAAACATAGATTGTGTTTTCATGGATCCTTATTCATCCAAGGGTGTTTATCTAGTAATATTATAAAGAAAGTTGCATTAAAAATGGAACCCAAAGGACTTCTATACCTAACCATGTGTTATAAGGAACCATCAGTGTCGTTGCAACGATTGCCATCTATGAAAAAGAATGGTCTGTTTGGAATAGATTTGGAGACGGTTATAAAAAGAGAATCAACAGGACATAATGTCCCTCTGCTTGTTAAGAAATGCATCAAGGAAGTAGAGGACCGTGGCCTGGAGACAGTTGGGATCTACAGACTTTGTGGATCCGCCCGAAGAAAAGCTCAGTTGAGGGAGCAGTTTGAAAAAGATGCGGAGGGTGTAGATCTTTCAAAAGACAACGTTACGGATATCCATGTAGTGACAGGTGAGTGAGTTTTGTTTTTTGTGGTCGGGAAATTAATAGGATATACAAGGATGACACTTCTTTCCCATTGTGATTAACACAAAGATGTAAGGGTTAATCTTCCATCTAAACTCCATGGAACTCTGGGAGGAACTCCTACGTACACTTTACAGCTTATTTATCAAATACTGAATATGATTAATATTGATTTTATCCAGTTATCAAGTCCTATTTGCTTATCCTGACCCCTGGTTAGAAGACAGTGGTAGGTGTTTTTTTTTTTGTAATTTAAATAGAGAAAAACGACTTACAGATATTGAGGAAAGACTTTTGAAAACAATATTGAGATATGTAGAAACCCGTAGTTTGGTTAGTAGTGTAGTGTTTCTGTTATTCGAAATAAGTAGATCAATACAATTCATTGACATTCTGTTGTTTTTAAATGATGTATTCTGATATATGTAATTAGTGACAGTCTAGACAAAAATCATTACTGATTGACGGGCAATAAATTACTAGCTGACTTCTTAAGGTCAAAATAGTGTCTTGTCGCGATAGTGGACACTGGATTCACAATGTCATATTAGTTCAATATGTTTACTTCACAGTACAGACAGGACCGAGACAAATTATTCTCATACTGAAATGAGTTAGCTATTCATCAAAAGATTTTCTAAATATATGTATTTATAGGAAAAGGATTTGCAAATTCAAGCAATAAAACATAGACATGTGTTAACTCCTCGTCGTAAGTTTGTTTTTTTGTTCGTAGAAATAGAATGGACACAGACCCCATTGCTCACAACGATGTTAGTAACCTGACTAGCTGTTATTCTTTATTAGAAAGTTTTCTAAATAAGGACATCGACCGGTTCCTTGGTCTGCAGAGCCTAATAAATGGCAGACAACAGCTTTTTCAATATAGGTGTAACTATCATTTAAAGTAGACAATATTAAGCTTCTTTTGCATCACTGATTTGTACCATTTGCTGATCCTGCTCTATAACAACTAGAAAATTGGAGAGAAAAAAAACATTTTGATTCGTTGCATCTGTATTTTGGAGAACATAAATAAACCCATGTCACGGTTTGAATGTACTATCACAAATGAAAAATCGTTTTGAAAAATATACTGAGTAATCACACAGGATCTTCGTATAAGTATTTTATAGAGCATGCCAGATGTTGGTAATTTAAGACTAAATATTGGTAATGGTTTGCAAAGATTGCATCACTTCAACCCTGGACATTTTCATTACACCCTACCTTATAATTCCTCTGGTGCATTATTTTCTTCGATCTATACACAGTTTATAACAAATCAACAATATATATTTGAGTTACTGACACTGAAAGTTCTCTAGAGTGATAGGGCTAGAACAAGCATCAAGACACATAATAATAAACTTTTACGACTGATTTGCTGTTTTTCCCCAGGTTACTTGTAATATAAGATACACATGCCAATTTTTTATTGTTTGGTTGCCATTAAAGATGATAATTTGTCACATCTAGTGACAGAAGAAAATCAATGTCGAGAACAGATTATTACAAGTTTTCAACTCTCACAGGTTAGAACCTGAATGCTTAGGAACCGTTCAAATGTGACAGAGCATCGTGTCGCATTGCGCAACAGTAGCATTGCAGACAATATAAACAGCTGGTGACCATGAGTAATTCCATGGTTCATTAAAACATCGCCTGATCTGGTTTAGTCAAAGAAAAAAGCTGTAGCGGTTTTAGAATGACTAATAGATCAAACAAAGTATTTTTATCATTAAGCCAATACCTGTGAAATAAATGCAATATGCGTGTAAAGTTTTATTGGCATCCTCGTTATTAAATGTCATTTTGGTTTATTAAAAAGTTCTTTCTGTTGAATTGTATTTGTCTTCTTCCATTTATTTGTAGTAACTTCAGTCATATGTCAATGCGTATGCGATACGATATATTCCAGTGAGCTTGAAATAAAAGATACCACAGAGACTGGTGTTTTGTATTTGGAAATTTTACTAGAAAAGACGTTATCTAATAGTAACCTAAGAACAAAGCTTATGATAACGATGAACTTCAACTTTTTAAACGTCAGCTTCCCATGTCTATGTAGCAATGTAGGATTATCACCTGCATACGAGGCTTATATCTCAGTTGAGTCAAAATGCAAGGGCATAATTTCTAAAACGATGTAATTAATTGTCAAACAAGTTGATGAAACGAGTATATCAACAGTCTCTCTTAAAGTCACTGCATGTATATATTTTGCAAGTTCTTTGTTCGGTGCAACCTTGACAGCAAATACCAATCTTTCATAAGTTCAAATGCCATTGGACGTTCTATGATAATTTTAGGCCATTATTTACAAACTGATTTCCTTTATTTCTTGATCATGACAAGGAGCACACTGAGGATGTGACTGATCAGCAGGGGATGCTCACTCTGCATGGCACCTGATCCCACCCCTGATGTTTTAAAAGGACCGTGTTTGCCCTGTCCCTATTTTGTATTGTTTGAATGGACTTATGAAGCTTGAATACTTTTGATCATCTTCATATTTCCTAAGACAGTGGGATGTGTCTTTTCCAAAGTATCTATTGCTAGCCTATCTTCACACAAATTCTAAGCATCAGTCTATAAAGTCTTTACATAACTTTATAAATAAAAAAAGTGAAAATGGCGAATGAAATCTTTTGGCACCAGAGCCTTAAAAATATTTATTATTGCTTCAATACAGTGATCACCTTGCAAAGCATTTCTGAAATAAAGTTGTAACGATTTAAGTTCTATTTAGTTCAAGATCAAGATCTATCAAGATCAAGACTTATAGCAATTCCGTCTCCGTTAGGAACCAGAAATGGTAATGCAAGATTCTAAACGTACAAATTGCCGAGATATTACACGTGACAGTTCAACACTAAGAAAATACAAGCCTCATATAAAAGAGCAAATTGATTGTTAAAGTATTTGTATTTTTCTGGAAAGTCGGGGATTGGAAGAGACGTTTAAGTAAAGGTCATCGCCTCGACATCCAATATCTTCTCTAGGGCAGATACCAAGACTGACAATGTGTCAGACTCAATGTGGCTTCCTAGACGATCGATGTCTAATTTTACACGTCTTTAACCTCCACAGCTATTTAAAACTCTGAGCTCCATCCCTTTCTTTAAGCTTTCGGTGCGATGATTAATTCAATTACTAGTAAGTCTAAGTGATTTGCTTTCAACTAAAAAAATACTTCGCCATTCAAAGTACCTGGATGTTTACCAGTGTAGAAGGTCATCTGATGTAAGAAGGATCATAAAACCTCCGAATTTTCTCGGTAATGAATATATCATCAAAAGACCTAGTATACCAATACATGTACTCTTGCTTTGTTGTACACGGACGTAAAAGGCATCATTTTCAATTTTGGCTTGTAATGATAGATAATTTATTATTCCCTCGCAACGGAGTTCCAGATGTAACGCAACTGTGTACATGTTGTGTTATGTCCTGTACGAAATGGAAGTGACGTAATTTGCATCATCAAGGTCAATGTTGCCTTGACGTATAAACGGGGATGCTTCGCTTTGTTTAGTAATAAATATATTTTTACCTAATAATTCCAAACAGAGCCTTAAAAGCTGCTTCAAATAATTAATTCAAAAATTATAAAAGCCAAATACAATGTAGTTGTACTTACATACGATCTATTTACTAGATTGAAGATGACAATGAAATTGATGAGATTACAACATTTAATATGGCTTTACCATTTTTATATAACAAAGACGGTGTATGGGATTGTGGTTTATTTGTATTTACAGAAAAAAAGTTTACTGTGTAAACTTTTAAAGAAGATACGTAATGATTAGAGAGAGTGTCATTTTCTGATATTTTACCATGCATCCCGCTATGAACAGTTCATTTTAACTATTTCTGTTTTAACAGAGTAAGAAAATTGAACGAAATGTACCGGATAAATCCTATTTTAATTAATGTGTCTACATTAATACTGTGTTTTTGTTTTGTTTTGTAGGTGTCCTGAAGGATTACCTTCGTGAGCTGCCCGAACCACTCTTCACTAACGCCCTCTATCACATGCTTCTGGATGCTCTGAGCGTGCGCTTGCCCAGTGACCCGGACGGTAGTGCAAAACTTATGCTTAGTATCCTCGAGTGCCTTCCAAAAGCCAACCAGGTACAAGATGTCCCACTTTAGATTCTAGAAAAACATTTTAGTACAATTAATATCTTATTTTTAAAACATGTATTTTAAGATATAAGGTAAAGGCATTTGCATGTATTTATTTCTTAGTTTTACTTAATGCCAAAATATTAGTATTTAAAATGTTGTTCAGTAGAAATTTCCAATACTATTTTGACTTTGTATGCCCACGTCATAAAAGATTCGGGGGTATATACTTTTTGCCCTGTCGGTCTGCCTGTCTGTCCGCAAAAACGTTTACCATATCCATTACTTTTTTGACTGGGTGGGACTATGGCTTACTTTTTTTGACTGGGCGGGGCTATGGCTTACTTTTTTTTGACTAGATGGGGCTATGCCTATATCATATTTCACAGTTGTGTTCCTCTTGACAAGACCTTTCTTTGGGTATTATCGAATTTGACCTCTTGATCTTAACCTTGTAGTTTGTCACACTTTTACTAAGAATTATAAAACTTTAACTTTGGTCGTTACTTTTGATTAAATGGTGCTTGAGCTTTCAAACTTCACATGTGTATTTATGATGACAAGATCTTTCAATAGGTATAATTTTTTACGTTTTCATCTTGATATTAGAGTTTGAGCCACTCTAAAAAAAACTTTAACCTTTGCCAAACTTTTAAACAGTTAGTACTGAGGCTTTCATATTTCACAGGTTTATTCTTTACGACAAGACTGGAAATCAAGAATTTTGACCTTTTGGTCTTGACTTGCATTTTAGAAACTTCAACCCTAACCATAAGCTGTCATACGGGGGGCATTATCGTCCATAAAACATCTTGTTTTCTTAATTTTTCACTTTATTAAGCTTAATGAGAACATAATATATTACGCAATTTTCTGTAAATCGGTTTTGGTATATGAAAAGAACCATTTTATGCTGTGTCCACAGAATCAATATTGTATGGAATTTACCCCATCTATAAATGCAAGCACTGTAACGTTGCGAGGCAAATATGTAGTAGTTACAGTTTCGGAAATTAGATAAAGATTTTTTAATTCCTTTGGGAACGATTTCATATAAATCATCATGCAGAAATCGATTGACTGAAACACATCGCTATTTTTACCTGATTAAATTACGAGAGCAGATTGCATATTCTGCTTTCTGTTATTTCTCATGGGTAAACATATATAGTGCAGTTTTCTTCCCAAGTAAAGAAGTGGATTTAATGTTATCTTTATCAGTGGGGAGACGTTAATCGATACTTTATGAGTTACAAAAACAATTTCGAATTGGCTGAATTGAATTATTTAGCATTGAAAAATCATTTTACAATAGGTTATCTTTAAACGACGACTCTGAATAAAAGTAAATGTAAGAATTAATATATTTGAAAGAAGAAAAACATGTATATAGACCTCACTAAATTGTATGTCCGAAATGATTGAACAAAAAGTTAGAAATTAAAAGACACAAAACTATAACTCAAAAACTATGATTCAATGCATGTCTTTTTAAGAAGAAATATATATAACTGCATGCATTTACACAAGAAGAGTGGCAATTGTAAATACTAGTATACTGAATATTTGCCAACATGATGCAAAAGCGAGCTTTACAAAAAAAAATACAACTTATGTGTGCGATAAAAATTTTGCAAACAAATATCATTTCTTGTATAATCATTTTCTTGAATACACAAAAAGTTTTAACAAATATCATTCTAACAAATGTAATTCAATCTCCACAGGAAACCATGGCCCTGGTACTAAATCATCTCAAGAAGATCTCCCATCACAGCGACAAGAACAAGATGACTGTGGACAATTTAGCCGTCTGTTTTGGTCCAGTTCTTCTCTGTCCCTCCCCGAAATCAACAGATGACCACGCCCTAAATTTCAAGAAACATATCGAAGTTTTGAGATACCTCTTACAAATATGGCCAGAACATTATGGTATGTACATTATTTTAATTCGCTAGAAAAAAAAGGAAAAATAAGGTATATATATAAGATATTTGTAATGACAGCCCTTTATTAACAAAACTTAAGTATAGTTAACTATAGAAAAAACTTCTATCATGTTGATACTTTGATTTACTAAAAACCTTTACTCCAGAACTTTTTGAGATTTCAAAGCGTTTTTTTTAACTTGGAAAACAGTGTAGTAAAATTTGGAAATTCTATGTGGACCTACAAGTACATGATTAGTTTCATTTGATATTAAAAAAGTGAATGTATGAACCCTAGAACATAAAAGATAACAATATGAAATTAAAAGTTAAATTACTACGCCGTGTGCTTCTTGTCATCATCGGGAAGAACAAAAAATCCACGATGAATAAAAGAAAACCAATCACCTAACGATTGATATGAAAAAGTCAGTCAGTCAGCATTGACTTCAATGATAGATTGTATTTGCTGACAAGATCATTGTACCGACCATAGAATTTTTGAAATGATAACTTTAAAATGAGACTGCGCATTATTATTATTTCATCAACTTGTCTATCAATAGCTTGCGTCTTTAAAAAAAAATGTTCGTACGTAGAACACATTCTTGAATATTGAATATACTGAGAGACAGAAACCCATATGCAGTTTATATATGGATATATTGCTAAATAAGTAAGGAAAAATAATGATTGAAAAAATAAAGTCATCACATTTATGCTTTATGATTAGATAACCATTAGCATTTTTTTCTACTTTTAAAAATATCCAAATAAGAGACGGATGACTGCGTCAGACTCTGTGGTAAATATAAGGACAGTTGTATTGTATGTAGCCATATTTATGATATAACACGTCTATATTACTCCATACAGTCAAAATTTATTTTTAAAAACAAACTTATGGGCGTGGGTTGGAATTTGGCACCATACTTCAATACCATTCTTGCATTGTCACTAACCTTATTAAAGTAAAACTCAATTTACTGTCACCCTTTCACATAACAATATGATTGGAATGTGCCTTGTAACGGAAAATGCTTCAGAATCTGACTAAGTGCTTGATTTTTAACAGTTTCTGAACCAGTGCTTAGCGCGGTTTATTTTTGTTTTGTTTTATACACATAAATAAACATTTTTATATCACATACATATATAAGAATGACTTTAATAGTTTAATTATTACCAAATCAATAATCTTCAGCAGCATATTTTTCGACGAAAACAAATGCAGCAGGAAGCAATAACTTAGATGTACTTCGACTCTAAAAAGCTGTTTGTCTCGTACAGAGCTTTTTATAAAACAGTAGAGATTTATAAAATTCCTTGTGGCAGATGTTTATGAGTATAAAAAGAAGCATTCATTTCCTATCCTGTCTGTAGCCATGACGTATACACCTCCGCTTCGTATTGTGTTTGTTAGGGGATAGTTGTAATGTTACAGCTTCATTAGTTCTTCAAGAAACACCTCAGGGAAAGAAACAATCATAATCTTTACTTCTAATTTTCTTCCCTAGAAATGGTGACAATCAATGCACAACAGAGCTCCAAAGAGAACGTAGTGGATTTGGATAAAGATAAAGATGATTCAGTGACGTCACATCCGGAAAATGGCATCGAGAACAAAAATGACTAAAACTATATTAAATGATTTAGATCAGTTAAAGTCAGATAATAGAATATGATTAATATGATCACAAAAATGTCCTCTATTGCACAAAATTATTTTAATATAATTATTACCCTGATTATTAATTTTCAGTTTCAGAATGGACTTAATTCATAAACGATGCATATCGAGGAAAACCTATTTTTTCTACAGATCAAGCAGAGTTTTAAGATTCAGTTCAGGATTTTTTCTCATTAAATGCTTCCTCAAATATTATTTCTTTTTCAGTGCATTGTTATTGAAAGAAATACTTTACAATTAAAATTTCCTACTTGCACAGCTAGCATATGACAGTTATATTTACCGTAAATAACAAAAAATATTGTTCAGCACATAAAAAGTCAATTGGAGGCTTTGTTCGTTTCGTATATATACGATATTACACATTAGTTCTTTTACACCTTTAGTTTGGAAATAAAGTATTTTGTATTTAAACTGTTCATTTATCTTTATTTGTACTTTTAGAAACTCCAACTTTGTTAACGTCTTGAAATCCGACTGAAACTGCAGGAGTAATATTGCCAATTATAGTCTAAATCAAGAACTGATAAAAGAAATTAAGCATCTAAGTTAAGTGTGTGTATCATACTTAGTCCAACAGCAATTGAACCGAAAAATGAAAAAAAAAAGTTTCAAAAGAAATTTATTATTTAAAAACATGGCAGTACTGTTTGCCAAAATAAACAAAAATCACAAAGAATTTTAGTTTTCTGGTGTACCAAGTTTTCTTGATACTGAAAAAAAAAAATGTAAGAAAAGTAAGGTTTTGGGGGGAATTTCATCGAATTTCAAAGAATTTTTAATTCTATTAACCATGCGAAGAGATAGAGACTTTTGTATCTTAGTGTAGACCACGTACATAACTGTATGTAACAAGTCATAACGAAATTGGATGTACACTATAGAATAGGTATCGTTTTGAAAGAATTTCACAGAAATTTCTATTCTTAGTAACTGTGGTATCATAGCTTAAAAAAATCAAAACGGCACATTAAGCAAAAGTTTCTTGGAATAGGGTACTTGTCTATCACGTATAATTGAAATTGGACAAAATGTGTAGAGGAACTAGTAGCGTATTAATAAATTGTTAGTGACAGACGGCAAACTAAAATAGCTTTTTGGCCAGTAGAGTACAAAATTGATGGAGAAGGTTTAGTATTTGAGGTAATTCATCTTTGAATGAAATATATGGAGATTAAGTTACAGAATTCAAGCTCAAAAGTCCATTAAACAATACAAAATTGGAGCAGAAGAAATACGGACCTCGAAAACATCAGAGGTGGGATTGGGTGCCATGTATAGGAGTGAGCATCTCCTGCCAACTACTAATAGATGTGCTCCTTGTCATAATCGAGAAATGAAGGAAAACTCTATCGACAATGCAGTTTTTAAATAATGACTTAACAATTACTATGAAAAAAAAACGTCAGTCAGCATTTGACTCAATGATTTTATTATAATTTCTGTCATGGTCATTGTATCGACCACAGAATTTACGAAATTATTACTTTAAACGAGACTGCTGCATATTCTTGTTTCATTAACTCCTTTCTCAATAATTTACTTTGCTTTGGAAATTGTTCATGCTAAGAGTTTGCTCTTGAGTTTCGAATCAACTGAGATATATAAACCCCGTATGGAGGTGATGAAGGTATATATAGCTGCATAAGTAAGGGAAGTCGACGAAAGGTTAATCTCATCACGTTTTTAATAGGGCATTTTTCAAGTTAAAATATTTAAATATCAAACAAATATGTCAGACTCTGTGGTATCTGGGTTTTTTTTAAGCTCACCGTGATATATCGTATAGACATGAGCATGGAGATAACCATGATTATCCATTGACAATACGTCGTCGATATATCTAAAGGTCGAGTTGAAGTCAAAAACTAGTGTGATTTTTTCTTTTCACGTGTAAGATTTTGGACAAATTCAGCTTCATATGTAAAACTAGTCAGTAAGTTGGTTGGCAACTAGCCTGGAGACATAAAATGAGAACAGACTTTTGATTTTAGATTTGTCATTTCTAATACATATGGATTTCAGGAAAAAAATGTAGGTTTGTATATTTCCATTTAAACATTTGGTAAAATTTTGACTTAAGTCTGTTATCAGTTTATGGTTTTTTGGGGCCTGGTGTCTCCGGTTTTACTTGGAAATATGGAGGATATGGAAAATCAACACGATCACAATGACTTTAAAGTGAGCATTGTCACTATATATAGTTCTTTTGATTATTTCTAGTGCAAATTAAAAAAAAGTTAAATTTTTACAATGAAAAATTTGTAAATTATGTACATTGAATAATTATTAATACAAGTAATTAAATATTCAATAGGTATATCTGTACAATTAAATTATTCAAATTTCTCATGATTGACATACTGTAAACGTATTACATTTGGATGTGTATTCTTTTTAGCGGCTTTGGCGGAACCTCGCAACCGTTAAATCAAGTACAACGCTTATTGTCTTGCACATATACACATAATTAAGAAAATGCGCTAAATCAAATTTACGCCAACTTATTGAAAATCAATTTCCACCAAATATCGTACACGCTAAATATAATACATTTACAGTAATCAGATATTATAATACGTTGTTACAATCGTAATATTTTGACAAAGATGTATCGGCTGTCTTGAATGCTTCAGATAATGAGAAAAGGTGAGCATTTTGCCTCCTCCTTGTGAAGTATAATTCTGAAGATTGTCGCACATAATCTGTCTCATGAAGACATGTTGTCATGACATGAAAGATCACATCCGCTGCACTGCGCAAGTCCGTTGTCTCATATTCACATTACAGTTCGGAAGGGGACAAAATAATTACAGTTAAGTTTAAAATAATAAATCTTTAAAATAAAGCCACTTTAAAAATCATTTTTAATTACCTTCAAGAGGGATAAGCGTTACCTTTTTTAGTAAAAAAAATTATACGCAAGGATTCATTCATGATTGTCTCGAAAGGAAATTCAAATATACATGTGTTATCTTTTTAGTTGACGTCTTTTGTTTTCTTTGCTCTGCACACTTTTATCAAAACTGTATTGTTATTTTATGTTTTCCTTTACAAAATATCTCACAAGTACTTATATCTACCACTCCAAAATTGTTTTAACAATTTTCGCTCATAAAGAGACGTCATCGTATATTGGTAAGGGGCTTCAAATTAAAACCTTTACCAAGCACTCGGGGACTATGAGCAATGAGGGTTCTTTATCGTACCAACGCTTGCCCTGCCACGGGGCCTCGGTTTTTAAGGTGTACTCTAAAGATCCCAATTTACATCAAACCATCAGATCTAAATTACACAACACGATATTACATATAAAAAAATGTTTAACTCTCTAAAAAAGTGGTATTTCTTCCACCATTTTTAGTTTTAATGAATAAAATTGATACAAGGTTAGACCTAGAAAACATGAAAATCTATAAAATTTTAAATTGAAAACCTAAAATATAGAAATCATAAAAATCAATTGCGTTTATTGAAATGGGCATTATACATATACTATACCATATAATAAAATTACACATTTTGTACACACTTCTGATACTCCTTAGTAATAACCGATTATAAAAGATCAATGAACATTTGGCTGGTACACTTGGTAGTTTGACACAGATACAATGACCCTACAAGCATGGCACCTAAACAGTAATACCTTTTAAATGTATAACACGGAATTAGATATCAATAAAACGTTGACTCGGTGACTAAATTAAGAAATAATGTTGAACAGCACATAACAGTCTATAAGATGGTCAGTCAACCTAACTCTCCCCCTGATAGGACTAATCTAGCGGCGACAATGCGGGTATCTATCTGTTATCAGTAGTCACTTGGTATAGCACCTTTAGATCGTATCTATATATACGTATGTCGGCAAATTTTTTGTCATACTAGGTTCTCCTTTTTCTGTTCATCATCACAATGACTTAATTAGAGTGTTTTTAAAACATTACTCGATCTGCATCTATGGATCAAACGAGATGTAAGTATTAACCCCTGTATTAAAATAACTATTTTTTTAATTTTCTATCAATTCAAAGTTCTGATAACATTAAACAAATTAAGTAATAAAGGAGAGAAAACTATTGTCTATTGTGATACATGATTATGACAATATGCTGAGGACACAAGCTAATCGTTAGATGAAATGTATGGAGCTAATGAACAGTATTTAAGCTCAAAATACATAACACAATACAAAATAGGAGGAGAGCAAACACCGACCTCCAGAAGTGGGATCAAGTGCCATGGAGAAGTGAGCATCCACCTACCGGTCACACCCGCTTTGTGCTCCTTGTCATGATCTGGAAATAACGGAAAATCCGTTGTCAATTCAATGTGTAAATAATGGACAATTACTTTGAAAAATGTCAGTCAGCATTTGACTCAATGAAACATTGTATTTTCTGACAAGGTCATTTTATCGACCATAGTGCTTACTTGTTTTTCAATAATTTACCTCGTTTTAGAAATTGAACACACATATAGCTTGCTCTTGCGTTTCGAATCAACTGAGAGATATAAACTCCGGATGAAGGTATATTGCTGCATAAGTAAGGGAAGTTGACGATTGAAAAGTTAAAGTCATCACGTTTATCATAGAGCTTGGTTGTTATATAATCATTAACGTCCTTTTCAAGTAAAATATCAAAATATATATTAAAAAAAAATGTCAGACTCTGTGGTATCTTATTATTATATTATTCATCACTTTGATTTCACATTGAACTCTATAAATTTATATACACGTAACAATGAGATAAATATTGGCATTTAGAAATATACTTTCCAAATTGCTGCCATACATTTTATCTCTCCCTAATACTGTCAGACTCTGTGGTATCTTATTATTATATTATTCATCACTTTGATTTCACATTGAACTCTATAAATTTATATACAACAGTAACAACAGTAGTGATTTTTCTTCAACGTGATAGAGAAAAATTTACAACAATTCGATTGTTTGCTGTGATAATCATTTCGTTGGTGTCTGTGATCCTTTTTGAAGAAAAAATACGTACACATTTTGGAGAATTAAAAAATAAGGATGCATATTTTGAACCAAAAGAGGCAACATAAAAATCCTTTATAAATCTCATTTTCATTTATCATTAAAATAATCACTTTAAAATAAAAAAAAAATATTGTAGGAATCAAACACATATTAAACCAATTGAAATAATAGGGCAAAACATTGCGTAAAAATAATTTGCCTTCAATTTCAAAACTCAGATTAAATAAAAAAAAATTAAACAATATTTAATTTGCGTTAGAAATGTTCAGTATGTAATTTCAAATAAATTGGAGTTCAATTTAAAAAAAAACCCCTCTGTATCTACATTAAAAATTATTAATTTCATAACGTTAAATTCATAAATAATATTAAACTAAATTTCACATTCTCTTAACCCCCTTCCCCGCAGTAACGCATTTTAACGCATATACCGTTTCCTATTTCTAACGCAAAATCACGCATTTACCGTTTCCCCGCAATCATGCATTTTCACGCACTATAAAAAGTTCATTTAATCTTCAATTTATTGCCAAATCCCAACTAATTTATACTTGCTTAAATCTCATAAAATAAGAAAATTTATTTTCTAATTAAAATATTACGTCATAATATTATTTACGCTAAGACATTAGAGAAACTTGTACCCCGCTGTAAAGTGCTTGCGGGGAAATTGTAACGTAATATATCTATGACGCGAGGATTCGGTGTATGTTGCAAATCAATTCAATAAGTTGTAAAGAGTTAATATACACATATCGACATCCGACACGGAATAATCATTCGTATTAGAGACATCAGTAAAAGTCTACTTCACTAATTACAGATATATCTTAATTTATACTCCAGAAGTTCAAAATATAAGGATAGATCGAATTTCACACAAATTATATTTAACCAAAAATAATAATAATGTAACTGAATTTTTACAGATTTCTCCGTTTTCTCAATCAGAACGATGGGACAATTGGGTGGGGGTGGGGTGACCTGTCGAGATGCTTACTTCTCATAGCCTCTGATTCCATTGCTTATATTTCTGTAGGGATGCGTTTCTCTTTCTTTCGCATCGTATTGTTTCAGTGGGCTTTTGAGTAATATAACTGTTCATTATCATTACATTTCACGCAGAAATATAAGAATGATCAATCAAAGAAAGAAACATTAATCTCAGAATATAGTTTACTGAGTCCCTTTCTTTCCCCATAATAACTAATATTTATTTTTTACCTAGTTATTATTCCAGTAAATGTACTGCAACTTATCATTGTTCAATCATGATTGTCTGAACATTGTGTAAGAGAATGGCAGTTTTCTTCTTTGGGCTTTGATGGGAACTGGAGTGTCATGCATGAGAGCAAAATGTTTTTAAAATGTCAAAATCGGAAACTTAAATTAACAAACGCATCTCCTAATATTGAGAATTTTAAAGGGCATTATTAAAAGATGACAAATTTTGTTTTATATTACTAAAAAGGTCTTTTCCCTATCAGCTATACAGGCAATCCGAAAATCAGATTGCTAACTATGTATTTGTGTTTTATAAACCACTAAAATTAAATTGGTGAAATATATGGTTAACAAAGACCATTCAAACTCAAAAATCCATTTAACCATACAAATCAGGAGCAGAGGAACTTACAGAAAAATCCATGGACAATTCTAGATGGAAATAATGGCCTTGTTCATTGATTCATATAATATATGAAATAAAACTAGAGGTACTGTGAGCAATGAGCTTACTAAATGACACACCCGCCTCCCATATGAATATAAAGACAGTGTCCATGTTTTGCTATATGGAAAACCAAAAATATGTTTCGGATCTAAAAGTAAAATAGACAGTACGCAATGGCAATATGTAATATTTAAAGATTCTATGAAAGTTTCATCAAAATTTCATTCAGTGTTAGAAGAAAAGTTGCGGATAAGTGATGGGTACCCCAAAGCGTAACGGACGGACGGACATACAGACGAACGGACGGGCATCCCGATTACTATATACCCTCCCGCTTTTCAAGGGGGGGGGTATAATAATTGATAATTTAAATTTTAAAAAAAGACAGTAATAATCAATGCTTAATAAGTAAACTATTTACTTTATCATTATTTTGGATATCACTTGCGCCCAGTTATCAGCAGACCTATTTTTGTATTCATATGAAGCAGAATTTGTCAAAAATCTTATGCGTGAAAAGAAGAAAACACTTGCTGTGGCCTTCAACTCAACATTTATGAATATATATCGACAACGTATTGTCAATTAACATATATCGACAACGTATTGTCAATTAACAATGCTATTTTCCATTGTTATTTCGATACGATATATATCCTGGTAAGTTTCAGATAAAAGATATATCAGAGTTTGACACAATTATTTCATATTTGGATACTTTACTTGAAAAAGACGTTAATGATAATCTAACAACCATGCTCTATGATAAACTTGATGAAATGTCTTTTCAATCATCAACTTTCCTTTCTTATGCAGCAATATACCTTAATCACCTGCATACAGAGTTTACACTTGTATGTTTCAGTTGATTCAATACGCAAAAGTATGCTCTACGTATGAACAATTTCTAAAACGAGGTTAATGATTGACAATCAAGTTGATAATACAAGAATATCAGCAGTCTCGTTAAAAGTCATCAATTCGTAAGTTCTACGGTCGTGTAGTCGATATAATGACCTTGTCAGCAATACAATTTATCATTGAGTCAAATGCTGATTGACATTTTTCATACCAATTGTTAGTCTATTATTTATACACTGAATTAACGTTGGATTTCCCCGTCATTTCTGAATCATGACAACGAGCACACGGCAGGTGTGACCGGTCGGCAGGGGGTGCTAATTTCTCCATGGCACCTGAGTCCACCTCTGATGTTTTGGAGGTCCGCGTTTGCTTTGCTCCCATTTTGTTTTTTCTTTTTAATGGATTTTTGATCTCGAATACTGTTCGTTATCTCCATATGTTTCATTTTAGTATTCCTACTTTTTATGGTCGTATCTTTCCTGAATGTAATCAAATATATTTTTACTTTTTAAAAAATGTATTTCATTAAATACGTTTACAAGAAAAATCAAATGACCTCGAGCGTTAATTTGAAATTTGGTGATTCAAATTGGTATCGACATTGAAACTGTTGTGTATGTGTACATACACTGTGTATAGATATTTATCGTAATGCCTTACTTTATGTACTTTTAATTAGAACTAGTATAGAAAAACACGTGACCATTGTGCACGAGATATGATAACTAACCACCACTATAAGCGTGATACTGAAGGCCATAGATGCAGACAACATGTCAATAAGAAAACAAAATTCGTGAACAGTCTGATATTGACATGTGGATGCAATTCTTCAATAATTAGAATAAAATCAAACTGATGTCCAAATAACGTTATGTTCAATTTCTACATTTAACACCTATCACTTAATTTTATTTCAGGGGGATGTCGATACCTGTTACTGGCGTGTGATTGTCTTATTGCCTTCGGATGTTTCTACTGTGTGGACATCCCCAGTGCTCTACAAACAGAACTACAAAGCTCTCATCATGTGAGATCTTAAAGCACTTAATTACATGTAACCATATACTAGTAACTTTTGATAGCATGCAATTTCTCTCTTCACAAAATCTATAAAGGTAAACTTATTTTCCAAGCACTTAAAGAGAATATGAGACTGTAACATGCATTCCTATTAAATAATTTTCCTTAGACAGTCTATATGACATTGATTATCTTGATTGATGTAATTCTAATTTTCTTTTAAAATATATTGATAATGCAACAACTGTTATTAGAACTTATTGCAAAATCATATGATAGATATCATTCATGGATCTAAATCTAATTGCAGGAAAACTGTAGTGATGTTCCAAAGAATGTGACTTGTTGTGAGGAATGTCTGGGCATAGGACCGGATCATTACAATCAACTTTATGCTGTTTTCTCGTGGACGTAGGTTTTATCTTATGTGTACAAAATTCATAATAGAAACAGAATTACCTTGAGTACATATTCACTGAATAGATAAATGTTATAGTTTTATTTGCACAGAGATGCTGTTATTATAAAGTATGCACACATGAATTTTATCGTTGTAGAAACGCCATCATCGTTTTACCTATAGGGGTAATACTGGATCGCATAGGAAACAGGAGTATGCAAAACACTTCATATGACACTATAAAATAATTATAAGAAATGATTTTTTCTTCTTTAATTAAGTTTCAAAAACATAAAATTAAATCAAAGTCATTTCCTTTTTATTATTTAAAGTGACAGCGATTCTTTCCACATCAATGGCCGCCATTGGTTCGTCTTTATTTGCGCTGTCTGTTATGCCTGGGTTTAAGTTGACATCAGCCATGTTTCCAATGATGCTTGCAAGTAGAGCAATTCTAGGAGCTGCTAATGGTGGATGTCAACGTAGGTATTCAATAGCATATCAATGAAATCATTCTGCTAAAAAATACATATAATACATAGCTTTATATTAATTTAAAAGCAAATTACAAATGTAGTATTTTTGTTTTATTCCTTTTTACTTTTTTTTGTTATCATGTCATTAAAATGACATCTGTATAAACATTTACCATAAAATTGCAAACCTGAGAATTTCAAATGCTCTCTATACTTAAATAACAGTTGTTCAAGATCGAGTTATTGCCTATTGGTTTCCGGACAAACTTGGTTTAGCTTTTGGAGCTATTGTGAGCGTCATAAGATGTGGCAACGTGTTGAATTTCTTTATCACATCCAATATTGCAAAGGTCTACGGCGTTCCGATGGCGCTTTGGACAGGTAAACAGAACTCAGTTTTTCAATTTCTTACATTTATTTGAGCTGTTACATATCAAGTACTTTAGTAAGTAATGGATTTGGTCAAATGTTTGCAGGTGCTCTTATGTGCGGTGTTGGGTTTATGGCAGCAGTGGGATACTGTATTTTAGACGCCATTGGAAGTGGAAAACTGGACAAAACTCACGTGTTTAACATCAAATCTCAACCAGTAGTGAGTTAATGAATCAATTTACATCCAAAACATACTGAAGTATAATAACTGCAGAAGACAAGTCGTCTACAATAAGTTCTGTGAAGTTAGATTTAAAAGAAAAACTGTATAGAGAATCTTAGCTGACTACTAATTTGATGACGGAAAACACTGAAAAATAGACACGAATCTTCATACTTTAATGCTTGAATATTTAGCAAAATATTTTGAGTTATAAATATATCTTATCATCTAGATAAATCAAAATGTATTAAGTATTGTGTGAGGAGCTGTATAATATATTGTCTTTTTTCCCAAACAGAAATTCAGCGATATTAGAAACTTCCCTTTGTCTTATTGGCTTGTCGCAGTAATGATCTCTACATATTATAGCTGTTTTATTCCTTACGTGGCAAATGGGAGGTAAGCCCTAAGAAGCATTTCAAAGACTTTCCAAGACTTTTATCAGTATCGCTTTAACATCTTTCAATCAAATGTAGTTTGTCTCTTTTCTAATTTGTAGTTTGTTTATTTTCTATATTTGTAAATTTTTAAAACTTGATTTCGTTGCATTTATTGATAAATACTATCGTTTTCTCACACGTATAAGAATGTTGATTGTCATCTTACCTTTTTTTCAGTAAATTCATTCAGGACAAGTATGGTTATTCCCGTGTGGAGTCGTCCTATATCAATGGAGCTGTTTATGACGTATCCATTATTGTCTGTCTAACCACGGGCTTAATTCTCGTAAGATTTTCACATCTCATTTGAATTCTTGATTGAGACATTTTTTTAATTAACGAGTGCTGTTTATTAATGAAGGATACATGACACATACAAAAATTGATCCGAGGATTTGATATCTTTTTTGACTGGTTTTTAATAGAAATGACAAAAATAAAACATACCTATACTTAAGTATAAAAGAAATCGTAAGTTGTCTTGGGTGATTAATGAGCGACTTTTTTTCGTTTTGTAAGTAATTTTATGCAAAGTTTTCACCTATTTTTAACACTGTGAAAAAATCTTGCCAGTTCTCCCATTTTATATGGCAAACACTATACTGATCAATATGTGGATTCCTACTCATTGAAATATATAAGACAAATTAAAGATTATCTATCCCTGGTTATATTTATAAATTTTGGCCAAAAGTAGAAAAAAAATTGTTTGTTGAAAGAGAAAGATTCATATAATTCATATACCTGACTTTACTAGCTCAGGTCTTCCTGTTGTTCAAATTTTAGTCAATCCTAGTCGTGTCTTGGTGCTGAAATAAAACAAATCAGTAGTAATGAAAAATGGGAGATAAAGAACAGTATCTAAGCTAAAATGTCCATTTAAAAAATACAAACCATGAGAGCAAACATGGACCTGGACCTCTAAAACATCAGAGGTGAGAGCAAATGTCAAAAAAGAGTGGAATCCCCTGACGACCTGTCACACCAGCCGTGTGCTCTTTGTCATGATCAAGAAAACTGAAAAAAAGTCCATATACAATACAGTGTAAAATAATGGTTTAAGAAATAATATAAAATGTCCATCAGCATTCGATTTAATGACAGGTTGTATTTACTAAAAGGCCATATCTTACTTCGTTTAGAAATTGATTGTAAGTATTGCATGCTTTTGCATATCGAGTCAACTTACAGATATAAACACCATTTCTCCGAGATAGAGATACTGTAGTATATTGCTACATAAGTAAGGGAACCAGACAAAAATCCCTTCTTCACGTCTTTTTTCTAATTTTGAAAATATCCAAATAAGAAACAGATGTGTCACTCTCAGTTGTATCTTTCATTTAGAGCTCACTGGGATACTGTGTCGACATACGAATGGAAGGAATTTATAAGGCGCCGTTTCGGTATTTACTGCCAAAATTTTTTTTTCAAATTAAAAAGGTGATACCACCTATTCGAATATCTGATATCACCATATCATTTTGAATAGGTGATTTCACTTATTCGAATAGGTGATATCACCTATTCAAATTATTTATGAAATAACAACGACAATAACCAAGGCTATAGGTCCCGAAATCTTATTTACTTTCACTCTCGTTTTATAACTCATGATCGTTCTAGGAGACAAAAGATAACAGTTTTGAATTTAGTTTTAAGCAACCCCAATACATGCAATAGAACTTGTAGTTTGTTTTGCTCACAAATTAATTTATGTCACTTATCTATTACGTATATTATAAGAAAAATCGTGAAAAACGCACGAAAACTGGGTAGTCCGGATTTTCTTGGTTCCAGTGGTAATCTATATATTATAGGGAGCATTAATTATTCATTATTGTAATAAATTCCAATAGGTGATATCTAATATTCGAATTGGTGATATCAACAATTCAAATTGAATAGGTGATATCACTTATTCGAATAGGTAATATCACCTTTTCAGCAAGAATAGGAAATTTAACCTATTCGAATAGGTGATATCACCTATTCATTTCCAATAGGTAATGACATCAATTCGAATAGGTGTTATCACCTATTCAAATAAGTGATCACACCTATTCGAATAGGTGATATCACCTATTGGAAATGAATAGGTGATATCAACAATTCAAATATGTGATATCGCCTATTCGAATAAGTGATATCACTTATTCAAATAGGTGATATCACTTTTTGCCAGTAAAAATCAAAACGGCGCCTTATAGGAATTATTATAAATTAATAATATGATCGATATATGGTCGATATATCTACATTTTTGATGTCTAGTTCATGGTCACACATTTTACTTCTTATGTATAATATATTTTCAAAGTGGCTTCATAGATACAAAAATAGCTTTGCTAAAAACGGGCCACAGTTGGTACCAATGGTCAAGCCAAATGACAGTGAGATACAGATCTCTAAAAGAGATTCTTGTACGTAACTATAGAATTGTAAAATAATGGGTAGGGTTTTGATAAAGATACAATAGGCAAGAAAAAAGGAAAAGCTTTGTAAACTCACAGTAGTCACACATAAACGTAAGACACATCAGTGCATGAAACATATGGAGATAACGAACAGTATTCAAGATCAAAGGTCAATAAAACAATACAAAATAGGAGCGGACACGGACCTCCAAAACATCAGAGGTGGGATCAGGTGCCATGGAGGAGTGAGCATCCGCTGCCGACCTGACACACCCTCCGTGTTCTCCTTGTCTAAGGATTAACATATCATTAGCAGAATATACAATGGGTCCGTGTTTTTTCTCCGTCAAAGAATCGTCTTTTGAGCTTGAATACTGTTCGTTTTCTCCATATTTTTCTTTTCTTACTGCGAGAGAGTGATCCTCTTCGCTATCCGAAAATTCTACATTTTCTTCTTTTTCCTGAACCACGTATTTTCTAAATTTACATTATACTGAACTGAATTTTAGCATTGATATCTAATTTTGATTGCATACACTTTTATTTGCAAGAAAAGCTATCTACAACTGTTCAACTAAACAATTGGTTGAACTTTATGTTTAATTTTTGTTTTTCGATCAACATTGATTGTTTCCCTTTGTTTGTAGGACAGATTTGGAGGAAGAGCAATCTCATCAACTCTTGGGGCGGCACTCTGTGTTCCTGTTATAATTTTCCTTGCATTCTTTGATTTCCCTCCCCTAGTACTTACCATTTGTTTTGGAACTTTTTATTCCGTCACAGTTGTATGTATCACTATGATTTGTTTGTGCTGATAAAAAATCTCTCCATTTTTACGAAAAAAAACAAAGTGCATTTTTAATCTGTTTAGTTTTAATTGCCATAATAATGACTGCATGAAACAAATTTATTTAGTAATTAGAGTAAAGATATAAGACATGATAATGACAAAGAGAAATCTTTTCTTTTCTTAAAGAAAAATAAATCTCTCTAATCTTCAATGTTTATTCTTCTTAAGGTGAGTCTGTGGCCATCTATTGCTAAAGTTGTCCCGCTTGCAACTGTTGGAACTGCAAATGGCATTGCCGCCTTTCTGCAGGGGTTAAATATTGGCATGACTAACCTAGGAGTCGGTAAAATTCTGGGTTCTGTTGAGAAGTAAGTGTTCGTTCTTAAGGCAATACAAATCTATATGTAATTATTTTCATGTAAAAAAAAACACATACAAATTATGAAAATCTTTTTGAGCATTTAAACTTCTTAAATTCTTTTTTCTATTTGAAATAAACTGGTATATATAAAGAAATAGTTTGAAAATAATATCAAATCATCTGTTTAAAAGATCTGATGTGAACAAAAGACTCACCGATTGGAAAATTGCACTCACAATTCTATTATGTCAAGCCTCTATTTGCACTGTACTAGGAATTTGGCTCAACGTCAATGAAAAATTAAAGGTATGTTTTGATTTCTTGTAATGCAACGCCCTTTTAATACAGATTCTTTTTAATGCTACGATTTAACGTTGTGTTTTAAATATTTTTATCAGAAGGGATCCTTGAATGGGCGATACAAGAAGATGTCGGCCTTCACGTCTCCCTCAGAGAAGTCTAAACTGATAGTGGACAAGGAGGACTTCTATGATTCCATTGACTCTGGTTATTCAATACAGGCCTAATCATTGAGCCTTAATTACATTTTTTTTAAAAAGTGCATGTGTTGTTCCTTCTTGTTGTTTCATTTAAAAGACAGATCATGTACATATATTATGATTTTTTAACATGATACTACATCTTGATGTATACCCAGTGTTTCAAGAAATGCTTTTTAATGCTTTTGTTTAAAATGATATTAATTGCTTCCAGAAACGTTTTATAATGCCTTATAACATATCAATCAATGTAACATTTCTGTAATATACATATTATCTTACGATACACAACTTGCATCTGTTTGACTTATTATACATGCACTTCCTGTTATCTCCTTATTTTGTGCTCTGCAAGACAGGAAGCCTTTTTAAACATAATAATTATCAAGGATTTGTAAAACTAAAAATATTTCTGATACACGGAGAATGTTTCTATCCTTTTCATATTAATGGTGATAAAGTATTTTTTCCGGAAAAAAGGAATTCAGGGAAGGAAAAAACTATTAGTAGGAAGGCCTACTAAACAAAGAGATCAAATATAGGATTTTTGCTTATAGCAACGTTGTTGTAAAAAGCATACTTACCTAATCTTTATAACTCTTTTCCTTTGCTGAATTCTTGTCTTATTTCAATATTTTGTCAATGTGTAACAAAAGTAGACAGTGGAATAGTCAGTGTTTCCCGAGCATCACTGGGTCCCTGAATCTTTGATAACACACAAATGTAAAAGATTAGGCTTTCTGTTTTCAAATGTACTCATTTTGTATATTCGTGATTGACCAGAAGTATACCAAGTACACGGTATGTAATTCTTGAAAAATGCACAAATTATAAGAGACCTACAATTGTCTTTTGACTTAAAAATTTTCATTAATTTCTGGGAACACTATATCCTGATATATTTGTTTCTTATAGAAATTGTATAGCTCTTACAAAGTAAGTGTTTAATATTTAACTGTGGTTAATTTAATTTGAAACAATTAAGTGTACATATAGTTTCATTAAAGACATATTGTGTGAAGTTTTCGTGCTATATTTCCATTTGCTTATGATTTTTGAAAGTTACATTCCGTTACGCGATCTCAGTTTATATAAAATTCATTGCACTACATATTGTAGATGCGATTTACAGGTGTTTCAGTCTGGCTATATAGGTGCATAAAACGTGTTAATCTTACTACCATTACTTTTTGTTGAATAAAATAAATAGAAGAAATATTGTTAGATTATTTTTAAAAGAGCTTATCTGACATAATCTAAGCTAAAATGTATTTATACAAGAATGCATTCATGACGCCCACTACCCCCACACAAGAGGGGGGAACATTTATTTACCACTTTTGAAAAACTTTATTGGCGGTAAAAAGGGTTAATTATAACAGATCTTTCGCCTGCAGTTTTAAGCCATGATACATGTACATTATTATGGTAGTTTGTTTGCATTCTTCTACCAATTAAAAGGAAGGACGCATGTGAAAATCTAGTGAATATTTCCTGTTAAATAAATTGATTTCCCGTTCAATAGTTTTTTTTGGCTGATTGCAGGATAATCTCAAAACAAAATTAATAACAACAGAAGATCTGGAAGTTAGCACCAAAAACTGCAAAACAAGGAAAATAAAAAAAAATGTAATTTGAAACACTAGCATTATTTAAATATGATTTTTTTTCCAGATAAATTCCAGATCATGTAACAAATACATGTATAATGAATATTTTTTATTACGACATTAATTGTTTTACTTTTCATATATAGCATACTCAAAAAATGTATACATACATTTGTATACATATTTATCTATTTACTGATGACATTAATGTCAGTAATATAAGTGCAATAAAAGAAATTCACTATATTTGGGGGTATCTAATCCCTCGGATTTTGCAAATGCCCAGAAGTCTTCAAATCAATCAATTTTTTGTCGTGAATACTTTAAACTTTAAATCTATATCTTTCGTATGAGTGGATGGTTATGCGCCATTTAAATAATTGGCAACAGAGTCATATAAAGAAAAACATCTTTAAAAAATAATATATCAATACCAATTGTTCTATCTTGATACTTATTCTGAATTTGACTACATATTACCAAATCAATACACTGGACTCTTGCGCTTTTGACTGATCAAAAGGGGATGTTTTCTCCTCCTTGTCACCCAATCCCATTTCTGGAACTTCCAGGGTTTCGTGTTGTATGTCCTCTTTTCATCTTTGTATTGATTATAGATTTTTCAGACTGATCACTGTTCGTTATCTTAATCTTTACATTTTACGTGTAAGTAGGCGCTAGAACAGCATATCATAGTTCTAGTTTTCGACTCACTCCTCATCAATTGTATTACATTCACTTTTTAAAAATGTATTAGCTTTCTTCCTGGATGATCTTTCGTAATTATGGCATACATATTCTGAGAGGACTTGCTTAAGTCGGTATCTTTAAAAAGCGTAATTAAAGTTCAACTAGCTCCTTTTAATACTTTTGTTTTGATTATCATTGTAGTTAAATGTTTACATTGTTGGTGTAAATCGTAGTTATTCAACCAAAATCTATTTTTTAAGACATTGGTACATTTATACGGAAGGGGACACAAAGCTGTGCATTTTTAAAACATGCAATGTATCCTCACAACTTTCTAAAGGTTGCATATTGAAAGGATACACATCTTTTAAAACTAGCAATGCCATCATACATGCATGAATTTTTCGCATACTTGATGCAATCTGTTACCATCACAACACAAAGAATGGTGAAGTGTTGCTATAAAAATTCAAGTGTACCTATATGTAGCTCTAATTAATTAAAAATGGAATGTTTCGCTTGTCAGAAATATATATAAATGAAAACATAAAGTAGAATTGTTTTGATGATTATAAAATACAGAGCATACTTGTATACATAGTGTCATCAAAGTGAGAAAAAATATTTTATGACCTGCATGGGGCTTGATGTTATTGGAGTCACATTTTCATTAGATTATGCCTAGGTATAATATATTTTGTGTCTACGGAATATATTTGTAATTTTTTTTTTTGGTGAAATTTAGCTGTTATTCTGCATAATCTAAAAATAATAAATAGCCACTTCATGTTTAAGCATTTTATTTTTCGATATGAACTTTGTGTGTAGCAAATGTTTCCTTATAGGAAGAACATATTTTATCATGAGTACTTCTAAGGAACTTAGGTACATCAAACACTTTTCCTCATCAATTTTATCAAATTATAATAAGATACTAGTATATCTTTTAACTCATCAGTTCCAATCTTCAACCATGCAATCATGCAGCACAAAGGAAACACTATTTTTAAAGATTGGTCATTCAAAATCCATTGTTTAATAAAAAAAAAAGAATGTCTTCGTCATTTGTATGATATGAAATATTGAAATACTTAGTATTTTAGGCCCACTTTACTTCCATCGTTTAACATGAACAAAAAGAATATTTCATATTCTTAAAATTTTACACTTAAAGAATGAATTGATATTTCAAATACTGTATACAGGGAAATGTTCACCCCCGTTTAATTTTCGCCCCTTTCGCCCTCTTCTTGATTGGTCGAATTTAAAACGGGGCGAATTTAAATTAAAACAGTATAATTTCTTAAACAGAACTATTACTGGGCGAATTTAAAACGTGGCAAAATTGCAAATATGGCAAAAATAACCCCGTATATTGGTATATAACGTTATATAACAAAACACATTTCTTTAAACATCTTCGTTTCAGCAAATGTTATTTGATGTTCCGCTTAAATCTAAAGAAAACAATTTAAATACATATATATAACACATTTATTATAAATTGAGTTAGCAAGAAAAAATATTTTTGAAACACTTATTCACAGAGCATATGTCAGAAATGCCAATTACAAAGACACAGCTTAACAGTTGGAATTTTGAATTTTACTGTTTTAGAAATCATTTTAAATTTAAATCTTATATAAAGCCAGACAGATTTCAACGAACTCCCAAACCCCATTACAAAGAGTGCAATAAGCAAAACCAGATCGAATACAAGCAGTCATATAAGAAGAAATCTGAATAAATCGGTCGCCAAGAAAAATGAAATTATTCCCATATGTTTAATCAATTATGCCTTCCTTAATAAATCTCTTCTTTTTTTTTAAAAAGTATCCTAAATGACTTCAAGTCAACGAAAAGAATTTCTAGAAAAAATTAAAAATTGAAGAATTTAGCCACCATGTGCAAAAAAACCATTAGAGTTATTAAGGTATTTAATAATAATGAAGGGGTTTTCATCAATTTTAATTAAATCTAAACTAGTTAAAATTGCATTGCTATATATCGATAAAAGTTAGATAAACCAAATTCATACGAATGATTACATGTAAAACGCTGGTCATTATGCACCCTGAAAATTTTAAGAGTTATCTGACCTTAAAGAAAATAAGAAAATTGTTAATTTCCCAAATTTTTTGTGGTAAATGATTCATTTTATTTCACAATTTAATAAAGAAAAAGTTAATGCATATTTCACCAAGAGATTTGTTTGAAATTCAAATAACTTTTTACAATATCTTTAAAAATATGCGCGCTGGTCATTGACTTCAAGGTAAAATTCAAGGTGCAATTAATTGGACAATAATCAGTATTTTGAAAATTCCTTTGGTGGAGCATTTTTATTTGGTAATACCTTAAAAGTGCTACCATGATTAAATCATTCATTTATTAGTTACAAAAAATGGTCGTTATACATTGAATACCTTAAGTATTTATGAAATATAAAGGTGTTTCCCAACTTTCTTCATGTATATATAGATGCTTTTAAGTTGTTTGACCTACGCATTCGGAAATTCAGACCATGATAGATTACAGCGACCGTTTCGTCTCTCTTTGAAATACTGCTTTAAATCTATTTGGTTATGATCTATGGCTTCTAAGAACTTTCTAAAGCGTTCAAGACTTTCTTTACAGTGTGAGTCACTTCGTCGTAGAGGTACCCTAGCTCCCTTTTCCATCTCACCAGTAGTGCAATGGTAAACATGGCAAAGGTATTCCAAACACACTTCGTCATTCGATGTCTCTTTTTCTAAGGAGCTTACCTCAGCTGATTCTTTGTCAATCAATTCTTCATTTTGTAAAAGCTGGAATGGAATGTATGGAGTTAACGAACAGTATTAAAGCTCAAAAGCCCATTCAAATAATACAAATTACGAGCTGAGCAAATATGGACCTCTACAACATTGGAGGTTTGATCAGGTGCATTGAAGGAGGAGGCTTCTCTTTCCTACCGGACACACCCGACTTGTGTTCCTTTTCATGATCGGGATATTTTTTTTTGTTTATTTTTTAAGTAACTTCTATTTGTTTAAACAAATATACGAAAATAGTTTATAAAAATTGACAATACAAAATAATACCGGTATATACTTACCGGTGAATCTTTATTGAATATTTTCTTGTCTTGCCAAGGATCGTGCATATTATGATGCTGTTCCAACTGGTACGTGTTTTTAATTACTCCTTCCTTAATTAATCTTTCACAAAATCTGCACGAATACTGATTCCTCTTTGCTGTACACATCATAAGATCATGTGTCAGCTGCGAATCCCTAGTAAATAGTTTTCCAAAAATTAAAATAAAAAACCACTGAAAAGTAATTTTAAAGAATATTAAATATCGAAGCGTAAACTGTATACAGGATTATTTACGCCAATTCTTATTTTCGCCATTTCACACTTGTGAACACGTTTGTCCCATTTTAAATTCTCGCAATCACACTGAAATTTATGTTTTCTTTGTATTTGCCATGTTTAAAATTCCCTAACTGTGATTAGGACGAAAGGAACGAAAATAAAACGGCGGCGTAAATTATCCTGTATACACAGAAATCTCATGGCTATTTTTACCTGTGAATTTTGATTCCGCATTCCTTGCATTCAATAATTTTCTCACATTCTGTTTGGTGCATTTTAAACGATTTCCACGGAAAGAATTTCTTACAACGATTACATTCAACCGGCTTATACTGACAATTTAGCATGTGAATTTCAACCCTTAACCGTGTATCTTTATAGTCACAATACTGATATCGGCATTTGATTATGGGACATAAATGATACCTTAACTTTGATTTCGTGAAACATTCGTTGCAACTTTTGCACTCAGAAAAACATAGCTGAAGATGTTTGAACAAATCCTTCCTTGCAAATAATTTTTCACAGTGTGGACATTCTTTGATGGCAAATGGACAGTCGTGCCTCTGTTGGTCTTTTTGTAAGTACATTCCACCACAATTTTCACAATGTTGAGGTGCCCAGGGACAGACTGAAAGATGTTTCTTATGGTCTCTGAAATGTAGAACAGCCGTACATCCATAGGATTCGTTTTCACAAGAAACCAGTCTGTTTGGACACAAACGTATATGTGAAGCCATTTTATGTCGCTGCATCTTGATTGTACAATTTTCAACAGGACATTTTTGGATAGAAAATTCACATTCCTCTAAATGCTTCTTCATGACATTTCTTCTGGATGTAAAGGGACACTTTCTGTTTGGACACTGGATTGGTAAATACCAACACTCTTGAAGATGCTTTTCAAGTTTTCTGAAGTTTTCTCCGCTGCAGGAAAATGAACAGTCTCCATATTTGCAAGTCAGTATACAATGTTTGATAACATTTACAAGTCTCAGAAAACCAAGAAGTGGGCTGGAATCCTTTTTCTCTCCAAGAATACGATCCCTTTTCATAATATTTCGAAGACGCCGGAGAATTTTTTTCCTATCATTATAAGGTTTAACACCTCTCAGTTGGATTCTACGGAATGTTAGACGAGGACCTTAAATACATGAATTGAAACATATAAACACTACACTATATTAGTTAAGCAATATACACTACATTCAACATTCTTTAACATAACATCTAATATACAAAAAATGAGAACGTGTTCTCCCAAAAAGATCGTTTTATTAAAAACAATCTTAATTATGATTTAATGGATGTGTGCTTCCCACATACCTTTTAGTGCCTTCACAAATCTATTTTTCAGCTGTATCAGGCATTCGCATACCGATATGTCACCCTTCCGCATTTTCTGCTGATATTTCCAACAATAAATACAATTCAAGACTCTCATACACCGAGGAATTTTACATTTGTCGAGAACGATTGGAATGACTCGATATTTTCCTTTTGTAATCATGTACATCCAGAGTGCATTATCTAAGATAAACTGACAAAGTCCACTTCTGAGAAAGTTCTTGCTGACAAACAGTACCGAGGCCTTTGTTTTGTCGAGTCCATTCTCAATGATATTTCTGACAATTGGCTCTCCTGGTACCAGATCTACGTCCGGGTCAAACATCCTTAATCCCAAAGTGCTCTTCATCATTTCCATGATACGACGAACATAACCTTTGTCGCGTAGGCTGTAGTTGACAAAAATAGGGAAGCCATTTATATTCGTTTGAGCCATCCTACAATTAAAAAGAATAACCGTTTTTATTTTGAATTTTTTTGTTTCTTTTTTTGTTTCTTTTTTTTTTTTCCTTTTTCATTTTGAATTTTTAGTTTTTTCTTCCGATTTTTTAATTGGCTGTTATTTTTTACTTATCTTAAGAATAATATTGATCTAGAAAATCCTGAACATAGCATATTAGAATAAACAAACCTAAATTAATTAATATTCTTATATTCTTATAACTCATATTTTATGTATCGAAACAATGTAAGGGAATAGTGCATTTTAAACATGTTCTGGAAAATGTGCCGTATATGTTGATCATTTCTTACTTTTTTCCTATTCTTGCTATATTATCAAGTCGATATTTATGAGAACTGCCTTTCTTTGATCAAAAATAAGAAATGGCAATGAGGGATTTTGACTGGAATTAAGAAGTTAAAAGAATGATATGTATTTTCAATAATTTCAACTAATTTAAACAAGTTCAAAATGGCCTGTGGTCCTTTTCATAAAAAATTCTTATGACACTCTTAAAATTTTTATTTCAAAAAAGATATTTTTGAAATAATTTTTATAATGTAATCATAAAACTATTAATATTATGTAACAGAAAAAAATGCAGATGTTTGAAGAATAGGCGAAATTTTAGTCTTAGTTATAAGAATTTTTGTAAAAAGGGCCACTGGTCTTTTAAAGAACACAATAATGTTTCTTTTCAATGCTGTATTCAGCGACGCGGACCAGGAAGTCTAATTATTGCAGGAAATAATCCCAAAAACATTTTTTGAAAGTTAATTCTCTATATCAAGGCAATAAGAAATCTTGCTTTTGTGTTCAAAATCATGGGATATCTATGGCTTGATTAAAAAGGGAAAAAAGTACTGTTTTGTTGTTATCATTTCTTGCAATACATGGAATTATATGAGTGAAAACTAGATAAGCATCATATTATTTAATCTAATAATAAAAAACAGGTTTGAGAAAGAAAACGATATATGTTATTTGGAACATATAAGGCAAAATAGACAAAATGTATATTGTAAAAGAAAATAACAGAATTACATACATTACATATATCTTGAATGTTATATTTTTGCTAAGAAAACTTATTCTTGTTAAACTTTTATAAAGACAAATTATGTTATATAACTTTTCAAATCACAAAATCACATACACCAACATTAATCTAATTTTATATGTATAAATAATCATGAATACAATAAAACAACAGAACAGTTGTTTTATTTTAAAGAGAATTGGGTCCGAATGCTCAGTTTTATTGCACGTTGTACCCACAAAAGTTTAAATACTTGATTTTAAAGAAGGAGCAAACTTTCACATCTTGTAATCGGTCATCAGCAAATAAAAAGGAATTGCTCTGATTCTACATGTACTTATAAGTTCTATTATGCCTTCCATATGCTCAGAATGAGAATTTTCCATTATACTGTTTCCCGCAGCTTCGTTATTTTTCAGCAAGAATACAAAACTAAGAAGGAATCTTTTTATAAATATGTCAATTATTAATGATACAAAGGGACATGAAGATTGTAGAGATCCCATGTTTCTCTACCATTTCAATATACACCTGGATTGGATCTCCCTAAACCTAAAGGTGCAGCATGAGTCTGATTCTACAATAAAGTTCTTTGATGTTGCTTTAAAAAGATGCTGGAGTTTCTGACAATAGTTGTGTCATCTTCGGAGATCAGTTCTCAAATTAACATTAACAAACCGTTGAAATTCTGTTGTGCATTAATTCCCTTCAAATGTTATTAGCAGACCAGTTTTTATATTCCTTTGAAGCAAAATTTATTCAGAAACTGGTAAATGAGGAAAAAATGCTATGGGCTTTAACTCGACATTCATATATATTGACGACGCGTATTATCAATTAACATTGGTTTCTTCCAGTTATATGTCTAGTGAACTTGAAATAAAAATACCACAGATCTAGAGTCATTCACTTCTCTTTAATATACTTAATGTTTTACTGACTAAAGACGATTACCCTCAATTTATAATAAGTAAGCAAGTCAGTTAAAGTTTAATTCAAAATCTTCAAAAACCTATTCTATAAAAATTTTTGTAATATCTCTGGTATTGCCCTGATTATGAATTGTCTGCATTTCGATAATTTTGTTGTCGTTATGAAGACCCTGTAAAATGAAACCATCTGGTCGTCGTCGTATATTTAAAAAAAAGTTTTTTTTTAATACTGAATTCATTTGAAGAGGTACATTTGATTTCCTGTACAAATACATAGGCCCCACGACTCCAGTACAATTATGTGACTGTACAAATATTTGAATATATGTTAATTTGGCGCACCCGATTCCTCCCCTGGATTAACCAGGGGTCTGTGTCTATTATAGTGCACAGATCTATACAAAAGGCTTTATAAATTTGAGTAGATTAAGATTGATCTTTGTTCGTTATCTTCGCCTTTTTCAATGGAAAAGTCATAAAATGATGACACATTTTATAACAATTTGACCAAAATGAAAGAAATAACATTGTAAACTTACCTGAATTGAACGTGCTTTCAGTATTGTATGTTTACAAATATAGATATACAGTATTACAGGCAATTAGAAAATGGGAAAACCGAATGAGGAAAACATCCCCTTGATATTCAGGAAGTCAGTTACAAGCATTACTGGAATCTATTTTTAAAAAAAACATAGTAATTCAAGCATTAAATGTACTTAAAGATATGAACATTTCTCCTTATCACTCTCTCTACATTTCGCTAGATCTCATCTTGATTTGTTGACAAATCAAATGAAATTGTGTGGTCGACCTGATAAAGAGCTACACTGATATAGGCGTTGTGTAATCTTTGATATTTAATATCTTATTAATATAAAAATATTTAATTATCATTTTATCGATAAAAGTTCAAGTTAGAAAAAAATAAGATATGATAATGAATTTTAACTCAGTTAATGGCAAAATAGTCCATTTTTTAAATTTTTAAAGCACTCTTAATTAAAGAAAAGTATAATCCTTTACGATCAGGGACACATGTATTAATACTCTGCTCCTTTTTGGTTTATTAAGTAGAGATAATCTGTCGTTCTTTAAACCCCCACGTTTTACTGAAGAAAATGCAGCTAAAACAATCCGTCTTTCCCTTAAACTTCAATATGCCAATCAAGGAATTGACACGGTACATCCTGTATTTCCTATAAATATACATCGACTATTGCTTCCATAATAGTAATTTCCATTCCTACGTCGATACGATATATCGTGTTGAGCTTGAGATAAAAGATACCACAGAGTCCGACACTTCTGTTTCATACTTGGATATTTTACTTGAAAAAGACACTAATGGTAATCTAACAACCAAGCTATATGATAAACGTGATGACTTTAACTTTTCTATCGTCAACTTCCCTTACATATGCATCAATATACCTTCATCACCTGCATACGGAGTATACATGTATATATCTCAGTTGATTCGATATGCAAGAGCATGCTCTACGTATAAACAATTTCTAAAACGAGGTAAATTATTGACAAGCAAGTTGACGAAACAAGAATATCAGCAGTCTAGTTTAAAGTTATCATTTCGAAAGTTCTATGGTCGATACTATGACCTTGTCAGCAAATATAGTTTATCATTGAGTCAAATGCTGACACGATTTTCATACCAATTGTTAGTCCATTATTTATACACTGAATTGACGACGGATTTTTTCCCGTTCTTTCCTGATCATGACAAGGAGCACATGGCGGGTGTGACCGGTCGGCAGGGGATGCTCACTCCTCCATGACACCTGATCCCACCTCTGATGTTTCGGGGGTCCGTGTTTCCTCTGCTACTATTTTGTATTGTTTTATGGACTTTGAGATTGTATACTGTTCGTTATCTCCATATCCTTCTTCCAAACTTATTAATTACAAGAAAACTTTACAGGGCCTGGATATCGACTATCTGAAACATAATCCTCCATCGTGTTCATGTTTCTTTTTAAAGTTGTCATTAGATCTTCTAAAAGAAATACCGTCCTTAGCACTAGTTGTTCTTGATTTTTCAGTAAGTTCTTCCATTGCTTGTACAATTTTTGTGAAGTCATGATGAACTATAGTCCTGCTGGACACGTTATTACAGGTGGCGTAAATATAGTTAATAATGATGACCTTAGATCAATAATTTTAAAAGGTCTTAAATATAGGTAACGCCGATCCTTCAGGCGTCGGGGTTTCGTAAATATTATGGATTCTGTAGAAGGTTTTGCAAGACCATTGGCCAAATATGAAAAAGAAGACGTTTACACTTTGTCAGAATGGATTAAATGTATCAGATCCATGCTACAATCTCGTATTAGAAAATTGAGGGGCAATATGAAAACCATCTATCCTTCTTTATTCAACAATCCAAAAGTGAAAAAAAAGAATTAGATAGATTACATGATAAGTACGTACTGGTCCCTGCTGACAAACAGGTAAGAACAATGTCTCCGTTTGTAAGGCTAATTATATAAATTGGTTTTTATTAGAAGAACTTGGATTTAATTCTAGAAATGGTAATCCAACGAATACTTATAGTTCCCTTTCTAAAGAAGAAATTCTTAAAAATCATATGTCAGTCTTGAATTATTTTAAGATCCCAAAGAACCAAAATTAATTTGAACTACCATATCTACATTGGATTCCGAAACTTCATAAAAATCCATACAAACAAAGATACATAGCGGGTTCCAGTAAATGCTCAACCAAGCCTCTTTCTTTACTCCGCAGACGTGAAGGAGAAACTTCAAGAGTACTGTGCAACAATATATTCAAGTGGTGTTAATCAGATGTGGATACTGAAAAATTCCAAGGAACTTTTGGACAAATTGAAATTTCAAGGTTTAGCCAAAATCGACAGCTTAAAAACTTGCGACTTTTACGCACAACCATTCCAATAATAAATGAAAGTCCAGGGTTTTTGATATCATTGACAGGTGCTTTTCAATGGACATGGAACTCGTAAATTTATTTACCTTGTCATTGGTCATTTGCAAAACTATTTTGTTTAAACATGCTGATTGTACACACAAGTACTCTGAAGTTGACATTAAAAAATGCTTGAGTTTCTGATTGCCAATATCTATGTGTTTTTGGAAACCAGGTCCTCCAACAATCAATTGGAATTCCTATGGGTAGCAATTGCGCCCGATATTAACAGACCTATTTCTGTATTCATATGAAGCAGAATTTGTCCAAACTCGTATATGTGAAAAGAAGAAAACACTTGCTGTGGCCTTCAACTCGGCATTTAGATATATCGACGATTGTCAATGAACAATCATTATGGTAATTTCCATTCTTATGTCGATACGATATATCCCGCTGAGCTTGAAATAAAAGATACTACAGAGTCTGACACATACCGGTATGTTTCACATTTGGATATTTTACTTGAAAAAGACATTGATGGTAATCTAGCAAACAACCTCTATGATAAACGTAATGACTTTAACTTTATCGTCCACTTCCCTTACTTATGCAGCAATATACCTTCATCACCTGAATACAAAGTTCACATATCTCAGTTGATTCGATAAGCAAGAGTATGCTCTACGTATGAACAATTTCTAAACCGACGTAAATTATTGACAAACAAGTTGAAGTAAGGATATGGAAATAACGAACAGTATTCAATCTCAACGTCCATTAAACAAATATACAAAACAAGAGCAGAGCAAACACGGACCTCCGAAACATCAGAGGTGGGATCAGGTGCCATTGAGCAACCGGTCACACCCGCCGTGTGCTCATTGTCATAATCAGGAAATAACGGAAAAAATCCGTAGTCAATTCAGTGTATAAATAATGGACTAACAATTGGTATGAAAAACGTCAGTCAGCATTTCATTCAATGATAAATTGTATTTGCTGACAAGGTCATTGTATCGACCATAGAATTTACGAAATGATGACTGTTGATATTCTTGTTTCATCAACTTGCTTGCAATAATTTACCTCGTTTAAGAAAATACAATTTATAATTGAGTCGTATGCAGGTGATGAAGGTATATTGCTGCATAAGTAAGGGAAGTTGACGATAGAAAAGTTAAAGTCATGTTTATCATATAGCTTGGTTGTTAGATTACCATTTGTGTCTTTTTCAAGTAAAATATCCAAGTATGAAGCAGATGTGTTACTCTGTGGTATCTTTTACAAGCTCACCAGAAACAAAATTATCAGCAGTCAAGTTAAAAGCTTTTCGTTAAGTTCTATGGTCGATACAATGACCTTGTCAGCAAATACAATTTATAATTGAGTCAAATACTGACTGATGTTTTTCATAATAAGTGTTGGTCCATTATTTATACACTGAATTGACGATAGCTTTTCCGTTATTTCCCGATCATGGCAAAGAGCACACGGTGCCCAGATAGCAGGATGTAATTGGACCTTTGTTGGGCCAACAATGCTCCTTATGTTGCCACCATTTGTATTCAACATTGGGCCATCGGTAATTTTTCGGCCCTTAATCAAACCAACTTGTTGGCTTATTGTTGGGCCACTGTAACAGTTAATACTTGCCACTGTTGGGCCAATGTATTATTTCAATATAGGGCAAACGTTATTTTTTTGGGCCATTGTATAATGTTGGGCCAACTTTTCATCGGCCCTTAATTAAACCAACTTGTTGGCTTATTGTTGGGCCAATGTAACAGCTAATATTGGGCCACTGTCGGGCCATTGTATTTTTTAATGTTATCATTTTTGTACATTTGGGCCATTGTAAGCAATTAATATTGGCCCAACGGTAATTTGCTCATCGGCCCTTAATCAAAACTTGTTGGCTTCTTGCTGGACCAACGAACGGATATTATTGATGTTGGGCCACTTATCTTTCAATATCAGGCAAACATCAGTTTGGACCAACGTTGGTTTGTATCTTAATGGATCTCTATCATGACAACTCATTTGCTCTTTACTGGTTGGCCATTTGTCCTCAAAATTGACAAACAAATACATATATCAAGGTTATACTAGTTTAGTACAGTTTAATTAAAAGCCCTTTAATACTATCTAAATATGCTAGATTAATAGTTTAATACATATTCTCAATACATATCTCATAGCATTAATTAAAAACTGAGGAAAAAGAAATCAAAATATAAATTTAAATTATAACATACTAGTATTTTATTGCTCAGTGCATGAAGAAAACATTACATTGTAATAAAGAAATAAAAGTTGATGCTCACTTCAAGCGATACATGTAGGGTTACATGTCATTGAATGTATACTCCCTCTCTGATGTAAATTTATGCACAAGTTCAGAAAAAACCAGGTATCAATAAGCAGGTCAAACAAATAAACAAAGCCCCCCTGTTCTTTTTTCATTTTGTTTACTTACACAAAAAATGTTTATTCTGCATCGTGTTTGTAACCGACAAACAGACACAGAAAAGGATAGAATACAGGTTTGTCACAGTACATAACAGAAAAAAGCTAGGCACTGACACTTTCCATCTGATCCCTCTCCTAAAGTCTCCTCCTCCCCCTTCTTTTCTTCTCTGTCTTCTCCTCCCCCATCCCTGTCCTTGGCATACCTTAGCTACTCTTTGATTGTGTTTGAATGTCTTTTTAAAATCTCCAGTAGCACTAAAATTGTAGTATTTGGTACTTAATACATTTGTT